AGAGAGATTACAATCTCATATGTTTTAATTATAGTGTATGCATTGAGAAATTAATTAATACACAAAAACATAAGAAAGATTTTTTTTTGATTATCTCAAGCCTTTGAGAAGTCAAAGGTTTACCCTTCAAATACACACTTCTAAAGCTAATCTAACCTTGAATGGTGTCAATAAGTGATTAGTCTATAATTAATCACATTAACAATCATTGATATCCTTATTAGGATAAATTTAACTCTTAACTCTATACTTTCAAAACTCCCAATATGATAGTTTCTCACTTTAAACATATTCATTGGGCTCATTGACTCTCATTAGGTTACATTAACTTCACTGAACTCCTAAACAACCATTAATGATATTTTTCAAGTCCCATATATCACATTAAAGATGAATTTTTGTGCATTAATGCCTCCTAACTACCAAAAATGCATTCATTACCCTTCTTAGGGTTAAAGCACTTAAATAATTCCTATTAATTTTATTTAAGTCAATGGGTTTGGACCTATAGCCTTTATGAATTGAAAATTATTTTTATCAAACAAACCTTAACTCCCAACATCAAAAAAACTTAGGAGGAAGGAGGATAAACACTTAAGGAACTTACTCTCAGTGTTTAGAAGCTTCAAATACCTCCTCAAAGGTGACCCAATATGTGCCTTAATAGAGTTCTTGAATTCCCCTTCATTTTTCTCCCTTTTCTTTCTCCATTTTTTTGAACTCTAATGCAACTTAGTTATACAAAATTTTGTCCATGCATAGTAATGCATGCCCAAAGTTATGCAAAATTTTGTCTATACGTAGCGATGCATGCCACATGTATCACAACATGTGGTACAGAGATGTAAGCTTTGTGTTTCAGTGGCTTGTGCACTACGACATGCAGTACAGAGTCGTTTTTCCTTATTTTTCTCCCATTTCAAGGTTCGAGTGGCCTAACCTCACTCTAAATTAATCCCTAGAGATAAAATCATAACCCATGACATCTATTAGCTTTCTATAACCACACATCACATTAACTTACTTAATTAAACTTATTTTATTCAGCTAATTAGGGATTAAATTTTTCAGAATGTTATAATTTAGTTTAGCCTATATATGAACTGGGCCTTCAACCTAGGCTTGTTAGCTCATTAATCATCCTAGCCCATTCCAAAGCCACCTAAGCAATATGATAAGTCTGATTAGTAATTCAGGAACACAATTACCTTAATTTAAAACTCTAAGTCACTAGTTTTTCCATAATTATCTTATTCATTTTGGATTAAAAATTTGGAATGTTACGTCTATCCTTCTCTTCCTTAAGCTTCCATCACCTTCTTGTTCCGTTTTCCTTCTACGCTTACATTCAAACTTTAAAAGGAATAGCCATTTGTGTCTTGATTTAGGTCCAGCAATTGCATCGTAGAGCAGGCCTCTTGGAATCTAGACCTTGACTCGTATCTCGAATTTTCATCTTAAAAAATGGGAGTTGGATTGGCGTCGAAGCCAAGGGAAGTAATTGTGCCTACCTGGTTCATATCATAGCCAAACTCCAAATTGAAACTTTTGGGCACATTGTTCAGCTAGAGCTTTATTGTTGTAAATACAGGGGAGAGATCAGGGATCGAAGTAGAGGCGATGGATGACTACGACAAGCCTAGAGGGAGTATACATTGTCTTTGTTGGGAAAATTGACTTTGGGTTTTTTGCTGCAGATCTTCCTAGCTTCTGTCACGATCCACATGTCATAAAATGAGGCCAACAAGGCAATGACTAACAAACATTTATGGGTACTTGATGTTATAATAAAAAATATTACGTTTTAATTATTTTAAAGATAAATATATTATGATAAATAACTTAAAATTTTAAGTGTTTATTGGATAATAGTTTAGAAATAAAAAAAACACCTATGTCTCTTTATTAAAGAATTTAGTTGTGTATAAGTTAGTGTTTGATCCAACTTGGTAATAAAATCTGACTAACAATAAAGTTAATAGAGCCACCCAATAAGAGTGAGTAGAGCACATAAATCTCGAAGCTCATTGACAAATTTCATAATTAGGGAGCTAAGAGTAGTTCAATCAATAAAATACTTTAAATATGTAAGAGCCTATGGACTCCGAGAAAAGGAGAAGCAGAAGGATAGAAGAAAGAACGTTCCAGAGCAAAATAGAAATTCTTAAATGAAAAACAAAAATAATCAAATTTTAATACGAACATACAATTATGGACTCTCTCCAAACATCAACGGGAAAAAGAGATGAATGACAATAATGGCACATAGCAGTGGCCGATGGAAATTGACGGTAGGCGGTGGTTGTTTGGCAGTAGCACTACCACTGTTAGTGGCAGAAGTTTTCAATAACTAAATTCAGTATATTTAATAATCACAATATTTCACTGAGGGTGAGCTATAATGCTAAGTAGCTAGGGGGATTGTGTGTGTGTTCGGATAATATTTAAACTTAGGTTGGATGGCCTAAACCTAAATTGGGAGGTGAAAAGCACAACTATTCATGTTTGGAGGGAGGAAAATCTCAACCAAAGGGTCCAAATGAGCTTTTTCCTAAAGCTGAATTGTAGCTTCTGACATTGGGTTGATGGCCAACGTGCCTCTCTCTATCATCAATTTATGTGAAAAACAATGCTTAACGACTCCCTTTTTTCTCTTCTAAATATTTTTTTCTAAATTATAATATTGTAAGATAATTATAATTAGAATGTATAAAATATGGAACCAACAAAGAAAATATCAATCAATTTTGCTAAACTAATAATTCTATATTCTATGAAATTTAGAATTTAAATCTAAATTATCTTAAAATTTCATATTAAAATATAAAATATCTAGAACGAATAAAGAAAAATCATATTCTCTCCGTTAAAAATATAAGTAATTTTTTAAGGAGTTGGATGTCTAAGTCTTTTAAGGTGCAATTATTATCTTTTTTTTTTTAAAGTGTCCTTATTGATAGTGACTTTATATTTATTATATGGTGTTTAATAAGGGTAAATATAAAAAGATAAAGTTAGTTTGAAAGTAGTAACTACTTTATTGAGGGGTGAGATTCAGTTAAAAATACCTTATATTTTTGAATGAAGGGAGTAATAAAAATGTCATATGCTCTCTCTATTAAAAAATGAAAGATATTTCTTAAAGAGTTGTATGCTAAAAAATATAAGGTATTTTTAATCGTTTGAGGTATAATTATTGCCTTCTTTTCAAAAGTGTCCCTATTGATAATGATTTTATATTTATTGTAGGGTGTTTAATAGAAGTAAATATGAAAAAATAGTATTAGTTTAAAAATAGGTAACTATTTTATTGAGGGTGAAATTTATTTAAAAATACTTTACATTTTTGAATGGAGAGAGTATAACACTATAACTTTATAATGTTCTGCATATGTTTTATTTTTATTTTTTATTTTAATATTTTATTTTCTAAAAAATTATAGAGTATATCATATTTATTTTAAATTTATATATTTATTTTAAATTTTCATAATTGAATATTATCATTTAATTCTACCATTTTAAAAATTAATATTTTTAACTTATTAATATATTTTATATTTGTAATTTACTTTTTTTTTGTTAAAAATGTAATTTTAAGTTTAATATTTTTTCTTGAAAATATTAAATGACTCACAAAAATATATATAACAAAAATCACATTTATTTTTGTCATTATAAATTAAAATTTATTTGAATCAAATTATTCAAATAAATTTTAATTTATTGAATTGACTTATAAAAAAATGCATTAAATATAAATTACATTATAGCCACTAATTTTTTTTTCCTAACCTTAGTTGAATTCTTATTTCAGCTATAAATTTTTTAATCTAAACACAGTTTTCATGGCTTTATTTAAATAGGCTTCAGTTTGTAATAAAAATTTAAGGCTTAAACTTAAACCTAAGTTTGATGAACCCCTTTTAAGGGCTTTCAAAAATTTAACAAATGAGTTTTAAAGAGTTCTCACTATAGTTTAAACTTACTTAAATGATCAACCAGATGTAATGATTTAATTAGAAGCATATAAATAAACATATAATAATATAAATTAAATGTATTTAATATACACATAAAATAAAAAAATATACTCTCTCCATTAAAAAATATAAAGTTTTTTTAAAGAGTTGAATATTAAAAAATGTAAAGTATTTTTAATCTTTAAAGATGTAATTATTGTTTTTTTAAAGTACTCCTATTATAAATTATTTTATATTTGTGATAAGATATTTAATAAAATAAATATAAAAATATAAAGTTAATTTAAAAATAAATAATTACTTTATTAAATATAAAATTTAATTAAAAATATTTTATATTTTTAAATGAAAATAGTGTAAATAAAATAAATGCCTAATAAATAAAAAGTTTTGAAAAAATAGATATGATCTATTTAACCAAACAAGCTCCGGCTGAAGGGACTAACCCAAACAATGTAGGCCTTAGCCTGATAGTAGCATGACCTGTTTCAACTCCTAACGCTGTCAACATTCAATTCAAAGAGCACAATGCGACACCTGTTTTGTGAATCTTTGTTTGGTTCCAGGCTTATTACCACCTTCCCATTCCCAAGAATGCCCTCTCATTTTAGGTCATGTTTGGTACATTAAAATTAAATTTAAGAGAAATGGAATTGAAATTGAAATCATGCTTTCAATTGTTTGATATGCATGAATTCAATTTCTTATGAATTTCAATTCTATTAAAATACCTAAAATTCAATTCCATCTCTATCATGATGAAATTGTCATAATTTCATGGAATTGTCATAAGTGTCTCACATACACACTCCATCATGATGACTAAGTTTTTTATTTTTCTTATAAGGGCATTTTGGTCTTTACTTATTTTAAATACATATATTTATTAATATTATATTTAAATTTCATCTTCATACCAAACATACATTTATAACTCAATTTTATTTTAATTTTAATTTTAATTCTGATTTTAATTTTATAAAAAACTCTTTCACCATACGAGCCTTCCTTGTTAAACATTTCTGCCCTCTGCACACTCCTTGTCCCGCGATCCCTTTTCTGGTCAGACAACTCTCCCCTCTTTGCAATCCCCGCCGCACCGCCCACCTCTCCCTCCTCTCCGCCATCCGCCTCTCCCTTCATCTCCTCTGTCACCCTCTCCCATCATTCCGCCTTCTTCGAACTCACCGGCGGCGGCCTTCTCCTTCATCGAACTCGCCTGTGGCTCCCTTCATCTTCGAACTCACCGGCGACGATCTTCTTCTTCTTCTTCGAACTCACCGGCGGCGGCCTTCTTCTTTGAAATCACCAACGTCGGCTTTCTTCTTCTTCGAATTCACTAGCGACAGCCCTCTTCTTCGAACTCACCAGCAGCGTCATCCTTCTCCATTCTAACTCACCATTCGAACTTACCTTTTCTTCTCTTTTGCCATTTCCAGATCAATTGTCCATCTTTTCATTGTTCCATTTTCAGATCTGATCATGTTGTTGTGTGATTTTTTTGGTTGATGTTGCTGTCTGAATATTCACGGTTGATTTGTGTATGGTTGCCGGCTAACAAACAGGATGGATTAGAAGTTTTTTTGGTTTTTGGGCGATCAAGGCTAAAAGAGTCCTTTGATAATCTATGCGGTATTGATTATCAGAACATACCCAATAGGCCCTTGCTAATTAATATTGCACTGCACTGCATTGCATTACATTGCCATATAGGTCAGGAATTGAACCAAAGGGGTTACAGTTGTTAGATCTCTAAATATGATGATGGCTAAGAGTAATAGGTTCTCTGGAGGTTATTATGGCAATGCAGTCGAGACGGCTGGTGAATCAGAGGGGTCTGGTAGCTCAGGACCAATAGATACTGAGATAACGGTTTCAGAGAATTCTAGTGTCCCCGCGAGGAGATGTATTAGTCTAAATTCAAGTCACTGTGACAATTTTGGTGTTCCCATGCAAGTTCTTCGGTTGTCAGATATTTCACCCCTTGAAAGAAAGGATTTGGTGCTGAGGTTGAGATCAGAGCTTGAACAGATTCGGCTACTTCAGAAGAAAGTTGAATTTCAAAGAACAAATGGTGTGACGTTGTCATCATCCAGTGATATTCTTAGCTGTAGTAATGGACACAATAGGTCTCAATTAGAGAAGTCCAGAAAATCATTGGTCCCTAGTTCTACATCGGGGAAAAAATTGAATCCAACAAGTCAGAAACCTTGTGGATTGAACCGGGGTTCTTCTGGGAAGTTTGAGCCTGCTCCACAGACACAGACCTGTTCACCAATAGCTGCAAATACCTTGTTGATGAAACAGTGTGAGGCACTTTTAAAGCGATTGATGAACCACCAATATGGTTGGGTTTTCAACTCACCTGTTGATGTGGTGAAGTTGAATCTTCCAGATTATTTCACTATTATCAAGCATCCTATGGATTTAGGAACAATAAAAAGCAAGATAGCTTCAGGTGCATGCTCAGGTCCTTTGGAATTTTGTGAGGATGTAAAGCTTACATTTTCAAATGCAATGACCTACAATCCACCTGGTAACGATGTCCATGTCATGGCTGCTACCCTGAATAAATATTTTGAAGTGAGGTGGAAAGCGATTGAGAAGAAAATTCCAAAAACCAATGCTCATCCAGTGCCAGCAAAATCTTGCGCCCGTGAAGATGTGGAAGCAGCTAGACCAGTGCCTCCTTCAAAAAAGAGGAAAATCGCAACAATTCCCCATTGCACTGAAGTTATACCTCCTGCTAAGCAAGTTATGACCGATGAGGAGAAGCACAATCTCGGCATGGAATTGGAGTCTTTGTTGGGAGAACTGCCTGGGCATATTGTTGACTTCTTAAAAGAACACAGTTCAAATGGTAGAGAATGTGGAGAGGACGAGATTGAGATTGATATTGATGATCTCAGTGATGATGCACTCTCCAGTCTACGGAAGCTTTTGGATGAATATTTGCAAGTGAAGCAGAAGAGCAATGAAAAGTCTGAACTGTGTGAAATGGAGGTATTATCCTGCAGTTCCTGTTTCCTTCTCTTCCATAGTTAAGCTAGTTTAATATTTCTTTTGAGCTTACTTTATTCTTCCTCTGACCTCTTCTCATTTATATATGTTGTAGTTGTTGAATGATTCTGGACCAAGCAACTTATCATTGCAACCGTTTAAAGGTTATACTCAGTGAGTGGGTGCGTGTGTGTGCATGTGTGGGTGTACTTTATTTGATACAACAACAACAACAACAAGCTTTTATCCCACTAGGTGGGATCGGCTACATGGAAGGTGTACTTTATTTGATATTTTATCTAAATATGTTCCGACCTTAGGTGATGACCTTGGTGATGAAGATGTGGACATTGGTGTAAATGAACCCCCTGTCACAAGTTGTCCTCCTTTGGAAATTGAGAAGGATGCAACTTACAGAATTAATAAATGTTCGGGCGCAGGAAGCTCCAGTGGTATGTGAGTTTTGGACACTTCTATACCTTTTGACTTTGAATGTAGGGATATTATGTTATACATCTGGGAACTGATGTGGGACAAAGATCCTATTTTAATCTATATGGGGTTTCAACCTACCGGCACCTCTTTTTGATTGGGAATTGATCAAATCCTGTATATCAGTATCTGCTAACTTCATGTTGAATTCTTATAAAAATAATGAATTTGTGCTGAGATTCTGATGCATGATAATATCATGAGGATGGCATGAGTTTGTTGTTTCTGATTCTTAACCAAGATTTTTTAAGGATGGGGTTATAATACTTTTCTTTAAGGACTGGGTCAATTGTCTAAATTTTCATTTGTAACATTTAAATATGAAGCTTTTGTGCGGTTGTGAGTCCCAATATCTAATGTGTGCATTTAAATGCAGATTCTAGAGGCTCTTCTGACTCTGAATCTAAGGATGCTGAAGCAGGTCCAGTAATAACGTCAAAGGTATTTGTTGGATTCTTAAGATATTTTGTTATCTCTTGTCATTGCATTTGAAAAGAACCGTCTTTTAATTGCTGATGCTGTTTTCTGTTGGACTTTACCTGAACTCCAATTATCCATCTTGGTTTTTCTTTAGGTAGCAGAAAGTTTGGGTCATGGAGCTCAGTTGGATGAAAAGACTTGGGTCATGAATACTCTAGAAAAGAATCGTGAGTAATGATTCGCTGTTCTGCTTGTCTGTCATCTCGTGATTGATTTCTTTATGCTAGTTACAGTGATTATGATCTGCCATTTAATATGGAGTATGTATGACTTGTATACATGCAAAAGTTATACCCAGGTTCCCTTCCATTGTCTACTTGTGGTTGTATTCTTTACTCTCCTCACGGCTTCTTGCTATTATTGTTAGTCTAGCAGGCTTCTGTTGATGTTAATCTTGATCATCCGTATTTGTAATTTCAAATTAGCTTCTTGTTTTTTTTTTGGATGCTGTTCTTTAAGTGTTCACTTTAAAATCTCTCTGTTGTCACTATAAGTGACTTGGATTCTTGCCTTGACGTCATGCAGAACCTGTTGTTGGGTTGGACCAAGTTGATGATAATATTGGGCAGAAGCCAAATTCTTTTGACTCAGACCAGTGTCGAGATGGTAAGAGGCTAGGAGTAGAAATTATACGAGATATATGTTGTCCGTTAACATTGGATACCTACTAAGGGGTTGTTGTAGGGGATAGTGTTCCAAGACAGGTTTCTCCCGACAAACTCTATAGGGCTGCATTATTGAAGAATCGGTTTGCTGATACTATCTTGAAAGCTCGAGAGAAGACACTAACTCAGGTTTATAAAAAATTTGAGCCTGGAATGTGCTCTGCTTGTAAATCTGTTTTCCGCTCATTTCTTCAATCTCATGTGATACCCTTTTGACGTGGCTGAGATCAGGGTCAGATGGGAGATCTTGAGAAATTGAATAGGGAGAGGGAAAAACTGGAGATGGAGCGAAGGAAAGGTGATTTGACGACATTACTATTTGCTGTTTATAAAGTGTGCTTTGCCATAGTGGCTGTTAAACCTCTTTTATTACATCCGCTATATATTACTTTGTGATCAGAAAAAGCAAGGCTACAGGCAGAAGCAAAGGCTGCTGAAGATGCTCGAAAGCGGGCAGAAGCAGAAGCTGCTGCAGAAGCTCGACGAAAGAGGGAGCTTGAGAGAGAAGCTGCGCGGCAAGCTTTGATAGAGGTAAATGAGGAGAATATATGTTTGACCATGTTTGTTCATTAGCCTGTTTTGCTACGGATTTTATTGGAGCTTGTTCTGGAACTTTATGCAGGTTGAAAAGTCTGTTGAAGTTGATGAGAGTTCTCGGGTTCTGGAAGACTTGGAAATGCTTAGAGCTGCTCCTGCTGAACAGCAACCAAGCTCTGTGGATGAGACGAGTCCTGATCACTCACAAGATGGCTTGGGTAGCTTCAAGTTTGGGAGCAGTAATCCCTTGGAACAACTAGGATTGTACATGAAAGTGGACGATGAAGAGGAATTTGCAGAGCCACCCTCTACTCCTCCACAGACCGTAAACGATGTAGAAGAGGGAGAAATTGACTAAGCGTTGCTCATTTTGTGATCCTGATTGAATTGTGGAGCATAGTACTAAGTTAATAATCACATCGATTCCGACGAAATTCTTTGATTCTTTCAGTTCCCATAATGTAGTAATCCATCACGAAAGGGTCCGACTGAGCACAGTTTCTAACTTTCTTGTGAGCTCGGACGCAGTATTATTACCTTAGTTTTGCCTTGTCTTGGCATCTGCATTGATTTTTTTTTTTTTGAAAAAAAACTGAATATCATTCAAAAACTGAAAAAAGAAAACATTACAGGGAAAAACAAAATAAAAGCCCAAATAAGCAATCAATCATCATCCTCTGCCTAGTCTAATGAAAGGTAGGGAATGATCAAAGATACAAAAAAGGTTCTCCAGCAAATTCTCTTCTTTAGCAAGGTTGTGGGCATGGGTAATGACATTAAAAAAAAAAAAAGAAATGGATCAATTCTTAAGAAGTAAATTACAGGTAGTTTGAACAATTTTATGGTAGGAGCGATCTTCATGATGTCCTCTTGTCAAAAGATTTATAGCTTTAACACTATCTGTGTACACCTCAATGCTAGTAAATCTTTTAAACCAACAAAGTTGTGAGCCTTCATATATACCCAGCAATTTATGGTCAATGGGTAGGTACCAAGTTTCCAACAAAAACCCACTATCCACCCCCAACTGTCATTAGTTATGCAACCTCCACAAGTGGCTATTTCCTTGAGTCTAGATAATCCATCTACCACTAGTCTAACAGCCCCTTGTGAAGGCTTAGCATCTGCATTGATTTAAAAAAAGCCGAGCATCACGCTTTTCAGATGCCAGCTGGGATGCATCAATATAGTGTTTCATTATACAGGTACGAGTGATAGTTCTTTATCTATACAAGTGTTGAATAGCTTGCATTTGCCCATCGTTGTTGACAAAGACTAGGCAACACGTTTCTTAGGAACAAACTGAAACGTTATTACAAAATTAAAAGCAATAAGACCACAATTAAAAGGTGACGTCCTTTTGCAAGTGAACTTTAGTAACTACTTAATAACTGGTTGTTCCCAATATTGGCCAGTAAAATTGCCACACATGAACATTAATTTATCTTGTTTTTTCAATTAAAAATGTCATGCATTATGTCTAAAAAAACATCACTAATGGGTGAGCCACGCAGTGATTGATTCACTGAAACCACAATTTATTTTAGTTTCTACGTGTGTCATTATTTATTGGGGCTGCATTCTTTTTATAATTTCAAGTCTCCCCCACTCTCTCTGCCCCTCTTCGGTTTTATGTTTGTCCAACGGACAAGCCCACTTCTAGTTGTGATGTTGATTGCGCGAGTTTCAGCATATGGAAAAACAGCTTCATTCTTTATCAAAAAAAAAAAAAAAAACAGCTTCGTTTATTGTATATTCATCTTCCGTGAGACACTACCAAAGGGGGAACCGAGAGAAGAGAATTTTTCAATCTGGTGGCCACATAACTTTCTTCTACCCTAAAGGCGACGCATGTATATGAAAAAAATTGTTCCCTTCTCAGTTTTTTATTTTTTGGGTCTTTTTTTTTTTTCTAAAGAATTAATTATTCGCTGGTTATCTCACTGTAAACTGTGGGGCAATGACATCAAATTCAAATATCAAATGGGGCTCATATCATACGATAGTGCCTGTTTGGGGAAAAAAATATATTAGAAGGCTAACCATGGTTTTGAAGTTCAAAGCATATTTTGCCAGCAGTTATCAAACTACAATTTTCAAAACCATAGCTGAAACCGAACAAAACATTTTGTTTTCCCCACACTATGTTTAAGCCCAAAACAGTAGTTAGAAAAGAAGTAACGTTTACTTGCTTTTGGCCAACCTCAACCAAATCATAGTTTTAACAATACTGCAAAACAAAATATGCTCAAAATCTTTATCGAATTGTGTTTTATCAAATGGGTTTGCCTTTGAAATTTGACTTTTCTCGGACAATATTCTTTCCATCAAAACTGGTCAGAGATGAGAGCGGACTTATGACTACAAATTGATCTTTATACCCTTCTTTGTACAAGTGATCTTTATACCTTCCATTTAGGACGAATGGCCGAGTTAAAGGCTTGGAGCAATATGCTGACTTGATTAAATTACTTTAAGGTAGCTTGGATGTCTTTTTGAGAGCTGTTTTAATGGACAACAGCTAGTAAAGCAACATGCAACTTTCTAAGAAAATATTAGTTTATTTTGTGCAGAAATATATCATTATGAATAAGAGTACTGCTTCATAATATTGATAATAAAGAGATCACAAGGATTTAATTGATCACAAGGACTCTTCCATAAGAATAACCAAAAAATTATCTCACAAGACTTTATGTCCATAAAGAAAGCGGCAATGGGGCCATTAACAATTTTCCTAGTCGAGAAGCAATCTGGAGAAAAATAAGTTATCTGAAGCACTTTATCCAGAAAGACCGCATTATTATGAAAGAATAGAAGAAAAAAACAAAACTAGTTTTATAAAGCCGGAGGTGCAGCAAGTTGAATGCTGATCCAAAAGATGAGATTTGAGCCAAACTCAATGCAGATTACCTTAGACAGAAGCCATGTGTCGAATCAAGTCAACCACACGTGAGCTGCCACAAAAATAAAAACCAGACGTTCATAAGGAATTGAAAGAAGTGTACACCATTTTAGAAAGAAAGGTTTGGAAGTCCACGTTACCTGTAACCCCATTCATTGTCATACCAAGAGACAAGCTTCACAAAATTGTTACTCAAAGAAATTCCAGCCTTTGCGTCAAAAATGCTTGATCTGCAGTCACCTACGAAATCTGTGGACACCACATCATCCTCTGTGTAACCAAGGATTCCCTTCATGCTTCCCTCAGATGCCTCCCTGCAAGGAATTTGTAGAAACTGGAAGATGAGAACTTGCCCTTCACAATAGCGAAATCATAACTTCATCTAGATTAACAATAAAGAGCATCACTTTATATCTTTGTCTCAAGAAGAAAAACCTATTCTTACTTGACAGCAGCTTTAACCTCATCATAACTGGCCCCCTTTTCAAGTCTAACAGTGAGGTCAACCACCGAAACATCAACAGTTGGAACGCGGAAAGCCATTCCTGTCAACTTTCCGTTCAGTGAGGGCAGTACCTTACCCACAGCCTGAAAGGGGCAACATTCATAAGATTTGAATTCAAAATTAGGTTAGACATGGCTGTCTGAGCCAAGGACAACTATGGCTGAAGGGAGAAACCTATACTTAAAATTTAATGAATATAGGGAGGGGATACACATTGATCCATATGGCAAGACAAATACCTTAGCAGCTCCTGTGCTGCTAGGAATGATGTTGAAGGAAGCAGCTCTGCCTCCTCTCCAGTCCTTCATTGATGGTCCATCAACGGTCTTTTGGGTGGCTGTGAGACAAAGAAAGACAAGTTAATGGACAACTAAATCCTTTTCAACTTAGAGAAATTAGTAATATATAACCCTTGGATACTTGCCAGTGATAGAATGGACAGTGGTCATAAGACCTTCGACAATTCCAAATTTGTCATGAATAACCTGACAACATTTCAAGGATATAATGTCAACTATTGAAGCATATCTTTTTCAAAGCATTAAAAGAATTAGTCTTCCACAGTTTTAAAAAAATCAAGTTTCCAACTACCTTTGCGAGTGGAGCAAGACAGTTGGTTGTGCAGCTAGCATTGGAGACAATATTAATGTCTGACTTGTATTCTTTCTCATTGACGCCAACAACGAACATTGGAGCATCCTTGCTGGGGGCTGAAATAATTACCTTCTTTGCACCACCCTAAGCATCAAAACAGTATGATCAGTCACACAAATAAGAGGATAGGTCAAAGATGAGGATAGACAGACCAAGTTAGGGAGAAAGGATTATTTCAGCGGAAGAAGAGGTTTCAAGACATCAAATATAAAAAATGAAAGATGATCAGCAAGAGTCTTCCAACATATTTTTTATAGGCAAGCATGCCTCTGTTGTTATTCCATTCAATTATTTTAAAACTTTCCAGAACAGAAGAATTTTAAGGGGAAATCCAACAATTTAAGATAGTGGCAATCAGTGTAATAAACAATTCGATACACCAGATGAGTGCTTAATATTGACAGACCTTCAGGTGAGCAGCTGCCTTGTCTTTATCAGTGAAAACACCAGTGGATTCTACAACATAATCAGCTCCTGCCTCACCCCATGGAATTTCCTCTGGGTTCCTGATCAGATAAATCATGGGTATATCAGCATATATAAATATATAATCAACAAGAAACGACACTATTTATAAACCATGAATAATATGATTCATGGTTGGCCTAATATCTTTTTAGGCATGAAACACGTCCCATCCAATTACCAAGTATAGGGAATCAGGCATTAGAGAACCATACTTTGTACCAAAAACAGCAACCGGCTTGTCACCAAAGAGAAGGGTCTTTGAGTCCTTAACCTTAATGTCATGGTGCTTCCATTGGCCATGAACACTATCGTACTTGAACATGTAGGTCTGCAGGCAAAACTCCAACGTTATATACGCAAATGCAAGACTCGGTAACATGTGGCTCAGACTCATTTGAAACAACTTAATGCAGACAGGCGGAAATGATCAAGGCAGTTAAAAATATGATGACATAATCCTATACCCTTTTTCATTAACACCTTTGGCAACGAAGTATTATGATCAACATTGGAAGAAATCAATCCACCCAGAATGTCCCACATTTGTGATCATAAAACACTCGAAGGTTAAATAGCGAAGCTTACCATGTAATCAATCGAAATGAAAGGATCGTTGACGGCGACGAGATCAATGTCATCTCTCTGCAAAGCCACTCTGGCGACCAGACGGCCAATCCTTCCAAATCCTTCACAATCATAAAATCGAACAAAGACAAAATCCACACAGTCAATATCAGAAGATCATCAACAAATTAAACAAATTTTAACTTTTCAACAGAAATAAAACAGTAGAAATGATCAGCATTTCTCTATAATGTATATACCATTGATCCCAATCTTGATCTTGGCACCCATAACTCTGTTTAGAGAAACCTGAAACGAAAGAAGAGACTCGGAGGGTAACGAAGTCGAAAGGCGAACGTGAGAAATGGAGTGAGGAGTGGACTAGGGAGCGATGAATGTGGCAGTGAGCGAAGCAGTTCAAGGTTGATGACTGTATATATACTGCATGCATCCGAAGATTTCGAGTGAAAGGTTCAAAACAAATCGCAATAATAAGCACCAATCCTTCACCACATTACTTGCTTTTATTTCTCTGGAATAGGTAAACATTAGACTTCTTAGAAAATAAAAATAGAAACCTATTCCTTTTTCTGGTCAATTATTCGAAATAATTGTTATTTTTTTCCAATAAAACACATAAATTGTACACCTTTCATTTTTTTAAAATTTTTTTAACACGCCATGAAACAATGGTTTTAACCAAGACTTATTGATAGCTATTTACACCCACTGTGTTCTTACGGCTACTAATTATATGTCTTTTTTAAAGTGGAAGTTTGAATCTTCTACCACTATCTAAATGCGACTCATTCTTATATTTGAGTCAGCCATAGAATATTTTTATTAATAATTTTTTAATTATTAATCAAAATATGCAAGTACGATATTTTAATAAAGCATGATTTTAATAGTTTGATTAATTTTTAAAATAATTTAAAATTTTTTATTACGAAGATGTCAAAAAAACAAACTCACAAGAAATTAGCGCAATACTTCACATTTTCATACCGTTCAGCTTTTTTTTTTAATTCGTACGATACGAGTGTCCTAAGACCAACTTGTCCTTCACAAAGTTGTTTGGGTTTGATGAGATTGGGGAGGTGAGAATAACAAGACAAAGAGAGAAAAGTACCAGGAGAGATATTCCACTTGAATGCTGGCTCGTAAGGAAAAATAAGAGGGAAAGAAAATGAGAGAGGGTAAAAAAAAAAAAAACAAGAAGAAAGTATAGAGATATAATATTTTCTCGTGCTTGGCTAAGGAAGGAAAAATAAAAAAGAAATTGTTAATTTTACATGAAAATAATAACCTTATTATTTAAAAAAATATTTATATATAATAAAATTTAATATTTTAACATATTATATATATAATAATTTCTATTATGTATTATTGATTGAATAAAAGCATAATCACAAATTATTTTATCTAATACTGATCCAAAATTATTTTATCAAATTTATAATTTTATTTATTAAATTATTAAATATATATAATAATCTTAAAATTTTGAAACTATAACCAAATATAAAGAACTTAACTGAAAATTTAGAATTAGCATTTTTTTAATTAATTTAAAAATTAAATATACTGCTTCTTTAACAAAAGTCCATGATCAAAATGTAATTACACTATAAATATAAAATTTAAAAATTGGTGGATAAATTTGGTAGCAGAAATTTCTCTCCAAAATCTCTTTATATTTGAAATAAAAATGTGGTCTTACATAATATTTTTTTTCCTCACTTTTATCTCCCCTCTGCTTTTCTCTCCATAAGTATATAATCAAGTAGAAAAAAATATTATTTTTCCTCCACTTTTTTCTCTCCCTCACTTTCAAATGCTTTAAAAGAAAACTACACTTCCTGGTCCCAAAAAAAATAAAAGAAAGAAAACGATGCTTCTTGGTCCAAAAATAGAAAGAAAGAAAGAAAGAAAAGAAAATAATGTTTCCAGTTCATTCACTTATATACGCGAAGCCACAGGCCACAGCAGCCAAGGCATTTTGAGCAAAAAAAACCCCCCGGGGGGGGGGGTGTCAAACATTTTGTTTCCTAACAATTTTTTTATTTTGGGATTAGGAAAGGCTAAAGCTGCCTAGCCACGGTACTGACCCTGTTTTGGTCCTGTAAAATAAGATTAATATAACATTTAGGAATGTCATGAAGAAGCTTCAAGTGGTTTGGTCCCTCATGGGCCAGCTTGGCAAGAAAATCTGCACACATGTTACCCTCATGATGAATGTGTTGCAATTCCAAATTCTGGCGTTCACACACAAGTTGTTGAAGTTCCACAATATCGTTATAAAACGAATGATTCCTGGCTATTCCTTGATATATTAAACCTATAGCCTCCATTGAGTCTAAAGTTACATATACTTTCCCTGCATGAACAAGATTGTAGACCTCAATCCCATATTTGATTGCCTTGGCTTCAACAATTGTTGTTGGCATGTGCCCCAATTTGCATGTGAAACCTATAATCCTCTTTCCTTTTGAGTCCCTGAATAATCCTCCATAGGCTACACTATTATTTTGATTTAAAGATGCATCCACATCAAAAGCGCAATGTGCCATCAGTTGGAGCGACCCAAATGAAATCTTATGCCTCTGTTTTGAGTATTGTCCAATAAGTTGAGGTGCTGCACACCTCTTTCTTCCATCAGCTTCGACGTACATGCGCTAATAATGTTCTCAGCATTGTGTTGAGTTCCTTTAATAATGGTTCCAGAAATCTTCGTCCAGTGCCAAGTTTGAAAGATTCGGCCTCCTAAATTTTGGCTTGTGTTCCATTGAAACCATTCCTGCAAGCTGCATGGGAAAAGTCTGTTAAGAAAAACATTATTAATAATTTTCTCCCATGTTTCTTTCACTCTTTTACAATCTCTCAAAATGTGTATGACACTCTCATCACACCCATACTCAAAACGGCAAAAAGCATCTTGAGTAATTCCTCTCTTTGCTCTAATAAGGTTGCTTAGGAGATGCTCATGCAGGACCTGCCAAAGGAAGTATTTGATTTTCTCCAGTAAAGGCCACTCCCATAAACGAGACCAAATCTAGGATAAACCATTAGATGTACCACTTTCAAGGAAAGAGCAAGCAAATTTGACCAAGAACCCTCCATCACTAGCTAGTCTCCACTAGAAACTATCATTCTCCTGACTAGTTGGAGGAGGGAAGGCCAAAATTTTCTCAACAATAGCAGTAGGAAAATAATTTTGGAGAGCACAAATATCCTGCCCGCTTGAGCTAGAATAAAAATCACAAAACCTTAGCACGAGCATCAAAAAGGGATAGATCTATTGGAAACATACTCAATTAAGGGTCTTTCTAGGGGTTTGCTTGAAAAAAAGGGTCTTTCTAGGGGAGCTCAATGATCCCACCAAAAGCTAGTGGTTCTATCATTGTTAACTTTCATGCTCACCCCTTGGAGAAAATTGTCCTAAACTTTAACAACGCTGTTCCAAGTATGAGAGATAGACCTCTTTTTAACAACTATCAGAGTGACACCTTGCACCACATCTATATTTAGACCTCAAGCATTTGAACCAAAGGGCATTAGAGTAGTTAAGAAGAACCCAACACAATTTCATTAGAAAAAGCCTGATTTTGGGTTTGCAAGTTCTTTATATCTAAACCCCCTGTCTTTTTGCATTCTCTAATGGTATTCCAAGAAATAAGATGCATTTTCTTTTGATCCTCCCAATGTCTAGAAAAAATTGCAACTGTATTTATCTATTTCCTTTAAGATACCTATAGGAATATGCATAGTTTGCATAAAATAAGAGAGGGGTGTATGAAAGACTTTATATGCACTAATCTACCAGCCAAATTCAAAAAGGAGCTTTTGCAAGAAGAGGCCCTTGACTGAACCTTCTGAATAATAGGCAAGAACATACCTTCAGTGACTTTTTTTGTGAAGCAAAGGAACTCTTAAATATTTGTCCAAGTTCAGGGTGAGTCCCACTCTAAGGTGTTGATTGATATAAGAAGAAAGCTGACAACTGACTTTTTTAGAGCAAAATAGCTTGGTTTTTCCTAAATTCATTTTATGTCCTGAGACCATATAGAAATCTGACATAACTTTCTTGATCAAAGTAGATTGCTCCGAAGATGCCTCAAAGAACAAAACAAGGTCATCTGTAAAAAAATAAGTGTGAGATAAGAGGTCCAAAGGCAGAGATTTTTAGAGGTTTTCATATCTTTTTCCTACAAAGTTCTTGAATCATCATACCCAATCTTTCCATGCAAAGGACAAAAATATATGGGTTTAAAGAATTTTCTTATTTTATTCCTTTTGAAGGTTGGAACTCTATAGACTCTTTCCCATTTCAAAGAACCTTCATAGAAGCTCTAGTTATGCAGGTCCTTATTTCTTAAAAGGATCTCTGGACAAAAATATATGAGCTTAAAGGGTCTCCTTATTTTCTTAAATTATATGCAAGGAAAGCCATCTTGGCCCAAAAACAAAAGGTAAATGAAGAGACTTTCAGGGACCAAAATTTGTTAGTGTTATCTTTCATTATTAATTCTCTTCAGTATTATAAATCTCCTTTAGTTGTTTGTTTAATAATAGCTGGAAAAGAAAGAAATCTCCTTTAGTCCTTAATATAATATATATCTTTAAAATTATTTTAAATAGTATGCAATTTTTTTAATTCTACCCTTTTTTCCTATTAAGAAACATAATAAACTATTGCTTAATAATTCAAACCATAAAAAATAAACAAGCATAAAATGGAAAAAATATGTTAATTACTCTAACTTTACCTTATATTAGAAATTAAAAAAAATTTTCAGGAAAAAAGGATAAAAAAACTTTTAAAGTTTGTCTCATCATAAAGATCGGAAAGGGTATAATTTAATATCGTCAATTAAAAAAAAAAAAAAAAACAAAAGTCCAAATGCGAGATAAACTTAATTTTGATTTTAGAGAAGAAATTTCATTACCACCGCGAGCTGCAGCCTGCAAGGCATCATGTATTGGAGAGTTGAAATCCAGATTATAGGAATGCCAAAACACACGCAAGTTGAGAGCAGTTCATTCAATTGGTATCTTTTCATGAGAGAGAGTGTATCGCAATACATGCAGCAAACAAAAGGATCTCAACATTACAAGAACGTCCAACGGTGCTGTTGTGATATGAGATGAATGCATCTCCCAGGCTCAACTAATCCTACTTTTAGACAACTCTATATCTTACAAAAAGAACTGACAAGTGGAGCAAACTTGGCTTTTATCAAGCATGAGAAGAGAAAAAAAAAATGAAGGAATACGACGCCACCACCAATCACTGTTAGTGGTAGAATGCGCCATCTGGAGTTAATTTCATAAGTAAAATATTTTCCACGTACTCTAGAACTGTTATCTCCACCTCAATACGAGAATTCATGACCTCGATGAGAAATATATTTCTTGACCCAAATGGAGATGTCCTCAGCACAGACCTGGGCCTGAGGGCTTTTCATGAGTATGTCAAGCGTTGCAAATTCATGTACTGCATCCTTGTACTCCAGAACAGGAGCGTCAACATTTACCTTCCGGAGCTCCTCTGAGTAAGCAATGGCACGATCCCTCATCCAATCAAGTTCTGCCACCACAGTCAATGTTGGAGGCATCAGCTTTAACGGAGGCCCTCGGCCTGGGACTAGAGGATTAGCGGCTGGATGATCCAGGTTAAAATCTTTCTCGGGTAGAAATAGTTTCCATGCAAGCATACACATAGCCTTATCATAAAAGTAAGAGTTTGCCAACTTTATTTCCGAATGAGTGGGAACACTCCCAACAAAGAATGGATACATCAAGACCTGTGCCACCACCTTGACGGGGTCCATAAGCCTGCCTGCCTCCACAGCTTTTCGAGCTACATAGTCAGCAATATTTGCACCACAACTCACGCCAAGAAGGACACACCTGTTTCAAATTTTTGAGGAAAAATAAATAAGGTCAGACAGTGAACCAGCACAATACATAACTCCACAATGACTAGCATACAAAAGGAGCTAAAGGAAGCATGACACAGAAAACAAAGGTGACACACAATAGTTTACCACAAAAATGTTGGCGTGCAACATAAGCTGTCAGCATAGTTTCTGTACTTTCAAATTTCAAACAAGGCCCCTTTTTGAGAGGCATAGCATAACACTATATAAACAACGCTGCCCGAAGTGGGAACAGAAAAAGTCTCCGCCAAATCATAGATGATACTATAATCAATCAAAAACAATTATCTTTCAGTCGGGAAAAAATCATCCTCTAAACTTCACTCAGATCACTTTAACGCAAACTACGCGCTCTTTTAAGGAGTAATTCACCATTTGAAAAGCATTAGTGTCCAGCAAATTGTAAGTACTTAGTCAAAGAGATTACCTAGAAAACACAGGAAAGAAAACACAAGCTAATAAAATAAACAAATGGAAATAAAAAGGGGAAACTCTCAAATTTCTACTGACAACTTATAGAGAAACCATCATCATACAACAAACAAGAATGTCAGTCATAAAGGAGAAAAAGATTCAGAGACTAGTAAAGCAGAAGTTTTTCCCTTCATTAAAAACCCTTCAATTTTCTTATTAAATAGTAGAGGATGGCCTGAGTTAGTTGTTGAGTAGTCCCCATTGGAAGAATATCTTGCAACCCGTAATCACTTCACCATCACTTTCTCAAACCCTCTCACTTTGTTATATTATCTTTCTATTTTGTTAACTAAAACCTTAAGGGCTAGGTGAAAAACACATTCAAAAAGTCAATGAACTAATATAACGACCCGAGGAAACAAGGCAGTAGAAAGAAAATGCGACGCAAACAATAATAGAAACATCAATGCTCAGTTTAGCAACAATGATTTCCATAACTCCAGGTCTACATATAGTGATGCAAAATTGTTATTGCTATTCAACTAAGATTATAGGGAGCTTGGAGAAAGAGCAACAATAAACAAGTAAGAAATTCAATTCAATACAGACTGATAGGTTTATCAAGAGAAGAGAGGACTCCATAAAATTTGACTGCATTTTGAGTCCTTAGTTTCAAAATAAGCAATATCAAATTTCTCTTGATAACATCTGAGAATCCCAAATCAATCACATGAACCAGATATACATGTTTGCCACGGGAAAAAGTACCAATACGTGAGCTTCTGGCAGTGCTAGCATTGACAACAACTAGAAAAGAATTAAGCACACAGGATCATATAAGCCTACTGATAACTCCCCCTATTTACTTGACCACATTTGTAAGTCAGTCGATTCATTGTAAATTTGTAGTTGACATCAAACCAGAACTCCCCTTTTAACTTTTTTTGTCCTTTAAATTCAACTGACGACTAACACTAGTCCACCACTTTTGAGTGCAAAATCTCCAACACGGTTAGTTACCTCCTCCCCAATTCTGAGATCCCTTGATCAAGTAAGCAGTAAAACTATGAAGGAAGGGAATCTTTGATCATCAGTCCAACCTATATTTTAAAGTGACAGAGTATGCCAAAATAGAAAATTAAAGCACCCAGTACTAATAAAGCAACACTTATCACAACCTGTGATGCTTAATTAAATTAGTCTAGCATGATAGACTGGAACAAATTTCTTAGAATAACCAAGGGATAAAAAGTGTAACCTTGAGGGATCAGCATGAGCCGCCAACCATGGCTCTACCACTGAAGCTCCAAACGAGTCAACAATATGCCTGTGAGCATCTGGTTTCTTAAACTCAGTCCCACTTCCCCTCTGTAACCCGAGCGACTTACTACATTCAGCTAAGTTCGCCTGTTTTGTCAACCAGTTCAGCACCTTCAATCCATCATCAAAAGCTGCTGGATATCGACTTTCAGGCGCGAGCCTGTAACCAACAGCAAGAACAATCACATCGCAAAGTTTGGCAATTCGCCGACAGAAAAAGTCGTTGGCAACAGAATCGTTGCTCCCACTAACCCAACCACCACCGTGAAATTGCAACATTACCGGCAATTTACGGCGGTTATCTAACTCGGGCGAGTAACCTCTATACACTGCGCCGGTTGTCATTAAATTCAACCCTTCTACGTCATTGCTCCCTCCATAACCATTCCTTCTGGGCTCTTCTCTGCTTGGCGTACCAGAAGGACCAAAACTATAACGCCGAGCAGGCAAACCGTTTGCAAGGCGATTCGCCGAATCGACCTGTGCAGATCCAGATTCGAGATCAAGTCTTTTATTCCTAGGTTTAGGCTTAGCCTTGAGAGAAATTTTAGCATCGGGTTCGGGTGGGGTAAGTGCAGAATCGGGGAGGAAGATTCTGATTGAAAGAGATGTAGAAGTGTCGATATGAATGTCCTTGGTGGCAATACCATCGGCGAAGGAAGGATTAGCCGCAGTAGCAGATTCCTCGGGGCGGGACGTGATTCCAAATGGATTGGCTTCTTCCAATGGCGTTTGAATCCGACTCTGCAAACGGTGCTTCAAGAGAATCTTGAAGAATACGCTATAGAGCTTCACAGCTACGCTTGGCATTTCTCCTCCTCCTCCTCCTCCCTCCCTCCCTCCAGGACTCGTTCCACTAAGAACCCCCTTCTCTCTCTCAAATTGTGCTGGCAGAAAGGAGAAATGCAGATTCAAATTACAATAAGTTCATACCTAAAACAGCGATCTTTACGCATAAGGATAGATTAAATCACACGAGTTTAGGGTTTTATATTCCAGAATTGCTTGAATCTAATGCTTCAATCCAATAACGTGATATGGTGAAAGACTAGAGAGAGAGAGAGAGAGAGAGAGAGAGAGACAAAGAAAGACAGGGAAAGCTTTGGTGCGTGATGGACAAACATGCAACTTTACGCTGGATTTTTCTTTCCTCAATTATGTGTTGTTATCATTATCGTCTGCTTCTTATTTATTTTGGCATTTATCATCTTCGGTGGTTTCCCTTTCTTTTTCTATTTTCTTACTCTAGGGGTTGCGTTGTAGCCTGTCGTAGATCTCTTGTGGGGCGAAGATACGGTAGGGGCGTCCCCAGGGGGCTAGAAATTTGAAATTATACTTTATATTTTGTACGTTTGCAGGGGCCTTGTGTTGTGACTTACGTTGTGGCAACCGTAGCCAAATAAAAAAGAAACCCTGCCAATTCGTATAAGAAAAATCGTTTACGTCGTTTTTTAGCAAAAATATTTGCTCTAGAGTGAAAAACTCCACCTCCTTTTCAGCTTTTGAGAGAGAAGGTTCATCTTTTGCTTCTTCTGCCTTGCATTTCTTCTGTTGATTTTCATGAATCTCAATCAAAGTTTTGGTCCAAATTTCATCTTCTCTGCGTTTTCCTAAGAGGAAATCATGAGTCCTCCTGCTTTCAAAGAAGAAATTGATTTGTTCAACAAGAATATTTCCAAGCTTGATGATGAAATGATAGACAAAGGCTCAGAAAACCATCAACTATCAACAATGCAAATTCAACAATGTAGCTTAAACCAACTTGATAAATCAAACAATCAACAACAAGAACAACCAATGGACGTTCAATTAGATGAAGGCCTAGAAAATCATGTTCAACAAGACAAATCAACAGCATTGATTCAAGGAGTCAAAATACACATCTCTTATAAAGAATTATTGATAGGCTATAATGGTTGCTATGGAATCCATTCAGGAAGAGAAATTAAGCATATAAATGAATCTCTTGCTAAAGAATTAGAGCAAGAGTTGACACCATCTGAAAGAACAATGAAATTAATGGATCAATACCCTGCTCTATAGATCTCCAATGAAGAATGGAAGAAAATATGTATGCCTTGGATGGATACTATAGTTATCAACACGTTGAGACTACAACTCAATCCTAGATAGCTCAAACCTAGGTTAGTAAAAATATGACAACTTAAAGATTTTGAATTGATTGATTTGGTTAATAGCTACTATATAGTTAGAACTAAAGACCACTTTGCTTATGACAAAATATTCAATGGTGACCCCTGGACAATATTTGATCATTGCATTTTAGTTCAAAGGTGGTCTCCTAGTTTCAATCCTAACTCAAACATATTAGGCAAAATTGCTCTATGGGTTAGATTAACAAATTTCCCTATTCAATGCTATGATAAAGAAATCCTTTAGAGGATAGGCAACTACATGGGCAAAACACTAAAGGTGGGCTCGAACTCTTTATCAAAAGCAAACTTTACAGACAAGAATGGCAAAACTAAATGAGGAAAATTTGCGAGAATAAGTGTGGAAGTGGATCTACAAATGAAACTTGTTCCTAGAATCCTAATAAGAGATGAACTTTAAAATGTGAAGTATGAGAGCCTAAATTTAATTTGCTTCGATTATAGGTGCTATGGGCATAACAAAAGCAATTGTCCCTAAAATCTAAAGAATCAAACCCAGAGCAAGTAAAAAAGAATGATGGTAACATTTCAAACACGAATCATGATCGTAATCTAGTAGCTTTAAAGAACCACGAGAGAGAAAAGGGGAATCAGATTCAAAATACAGGTGGTCCGTTGGACGTTAATGGAAACTTACTAGAAGAGGAGTTTAGAGACTTCATGAGATTTAGATGAGATGCAAGACGCTTTAGAAGCGCACGAAATCTAAGAAATCAAGTTGATAGTTGATCAACATGTCACGATCAAGGACTTAAGCCTACATCTGGGACACTATTCAACATACTCGCAAATCTTGAGCAAGAAACTGACATATGAGGGAGAGATGATGCAAGAATAAGCAACAGTCGACCTGAACAATTGGCATTTATGAAAAAATAAAGGAAGAAGGAAGTAGCAGGTATGAAAAGATTTAGACCGACTGGCTAGGAGGTTAAGGCCATGGCTGAATGTACTAAGGGAAAGGAAAAACTGAATGGAGCTAAAAAGGACACAAAAGCACGTGTTTTGGGCCTAGCTTTTCATGGAATAGGCCAAATGTTGTTAACCTTGAAAAATTTGCCCAAACCAAGATTCAGCCCAAAAACGTGACTACTAGATCCACTAAAAGAATACAAAATGTTGTGAAAGGAAATAAAAGATATTAGATGAGTGCAGAAAGGCCCAATACCGAGAATATTACAAAGAGCAACTCTGATAAAGAAATGAAAAATAGAGTGACAATGACCAATTTTATTCCCTTGATTTAATTATTTGGAGAAATGCTCAGCCTGGAATATTTGATCAAAATTCTCCAACCCCTTTTAACCATCAACTTGACTAGAGAGAACCTCATGATCCCATAGATAGTTAAACCATTATACTCGAAACCCAGTTAAATGAAGCTATTGCTATGGAGCCAAACAACTAATTTCCAAGATTGGATAATGTAGATAACATCATTCTTGAAAACTATGGGGATGACATTTTGGATGATGACCTCTTGGATGAGGATTACCTAAATCACACTCAAAATGAAGACTTGGAAGATGAGGAATTTAGTGATGATGAAATCAAAGACACAGATGTCTAGTTTTTATCCAGGTTTACCTAATCCTTTTATTTATTTTATGGATATTATTTGTTGAAATTGTAGGGGCACTTGTGCTAAAAGTTTTCTTAAGCACATTAAAGAAATAACTGCAACTTATAATACACAAATTCTTATCCTTTTAGAAACTAGAGCTAGTGGCATTAGAGCTTATAATATTGTTAAAAAACTGAGCTTTTCTGATTGGATTCATATTGAAGCAACAAGTTATGCTGGAGGTATTTGGCTTTTATGGAATAATGATATTATTAATATTGATTATGTTTATTTTAATGTCCAACTTCTCTATTGCAGGGTCAATATTACTGCTACTAATAACTATTATTTGCTTTCTTAACCGCAATCTTCTTTGGGATTCTATTAATTCTATTGCTCAGAATAATACTGAACCTTAGCTCATAGTTAGGGATTTTAATTCTTATCTTTTCTGTGAAGACAAATTTGGTAGTGACAACTTTAATTGGAAAACCATGAAACAATTCAGACAATGTATAAGTTCTTCCAATCTTCTTGAATTAAATTTTTATGGTGATAGATTTACTTGGGAAAAAGGTAAAATAAAAGAACGTCTAGACTAGACCTTCTGTGATACTAGTTGGAGACTCAGATTCCACTAGGTTGACTCCTTTCATCTTCTCAAATATGGTTCTGACCATCTCCCAATCATAATCCATCTTATAAGGAAGGACTATCAAGAGCAGAAGAATATTCCTTTTAGATGTCATGCTACTTAGACTCTTAAAGATTCTTTTTACCCTTTGGTCAAAAATTCTTGGAGTACTAATGATTGGAATGAAGGAGTTTGTATTTACCACATCCGCTCCCCTTTGGAACAAGAGAAAAATTGGTAATATATCCTCTAAAAAGAAAAGGATTTTACGTTGCTTGGAAGGAATTGATAGGAATAGAAACTAAAGAGATAATTACTTTCTTAAGAACTTGAAAAAAAATCTCTATGGGAAGATTACAATCAAGTCTTTTTGCAAGAAGAGCTTATTTGGTTTCAAAAATCTAGATGTAAGTGGCTAAAATAGGGAGATCAAAACACCAAATTCTTCTATGCTACATCTATTATTAGAAGGAAAAGGAACCGGATTCTTTCACTAAAAGCTAAAGATGATTTCTAGGTTCAAGATCAAAATAAATTGAAAAATATGGCTGTTACCTACTTTGACAATCTTTATAAGGATAACCTCAATGTTAAACCCAAGCTTATTTCTGATAAAAGTTTTCCTACTTTCTCTTACATTCAGCTTTAATCTCTACACAGAGAGGTGATTGATGAGGAAATAAAAAAATGTTACTTTTGAGATTAGGGCATTTAATGCACTAGGTCTTGATGGTATCAATACTGGCTTCATTCATACTTACTGGGATGACTTGAATCATAGTATTATCCAGCTTGTCAAAAAAGTATTCAAGGAACCCGAAACTATTAAGATGGTCAATGACACTTTCCTCACTCTTATCCATAAGAATGGTCATCCCATCTCCATGAAAGACTTTCATCCTATTTTCCTTTGTAATGTGAGCTACAAAATCACCACCAAAATCCTCTCTAATCATCTTCATGCTTGTATGAATCATCTAATCAGTGAAAAACAATGCAGTTTTATACAAGGGCGTCAAAGTAGCGACAATATCATTATCGCCCAAGAAGTCATCCATACCATGAGAAACAAAATGGGTAAAAAAAGATTCATGGAACTTAAGATTGATCTTGAAAAGGCCCTTGATAGATTGTCTTGAAACTTTACTGATGATACTCTTAAATCCATTGGTATAAATAGACACTTCAGGAATTTGATCCAAGCTGCCATTTTAACTACTTACATGCGAGTCCTCTGGAATGGTAAACCTACTAAAGAGTTTAAACCTTCCTGTGGCATCCGACCAGAGGATCCTCTTTCTCCTTATCTCTTTATCCTTTATTTTAAATGTTTAAGCCACTGCATTAACAGTAGTATTGAAAAAAATGAGTGGAGACTAATTAGATTAACAACTAATGGTCCCTTTATTTCTCACTTTTTTTTGTGCTAATAATCTTTTACTTTTTGTAGAGTGTTCCCTTATGCAAGCTATTATCATCCAACAATGCCTTTCTAAATTTTGCAACGCCTTAGGACAGAAAATAAACATTGAAAAATTGAAGCTCTTTTGTTCAAAAAATGTCAATATTAATATAGCTACACAAATTAGTGGTGAACTAGGGATTCCTCTCACTGAAAATCTTAGAAAATATCTTGAAATCCCTATTATACATGAAAAGGTGTCCAAAGTCACTTTTGCCCCTCTTCTTGATAAGACAAACTCTTGCTTGGCTAACTAGAGGAGTAGATATCTGAACATGGTAGAGAATATGTTCTTATCAAATTTGTCCTTTCAGCTCTT